AATCGACAGTTGGTGGCGTGAAGGCTGGCTCATAAAGATGGATGTAAACAATATAGAAAATATTTTTAAAATGTGTTTTTTCAAAGGAAAGAACACATTTGGTGTTCATTCCAAATGAACAAGGATACATACAAAGCATCTTGGTGAGAAACAATGAATGTAAAAATCTTTAATTTATTATAAAACTCCACTCAATGTGTATAATGTATACAAGTGGTATGCCAACATGTGGTTACAACCCCTCATCATGGGTTGCATGTCTTTACATTGTGATTACATCATATGCCACAGTGATTTTCTCTCATACTGTTTTCATTTTAATCATTTTTAGAGGTTTGAAATGGTAAAACTACAATATTACACAAGGAAAAAATCCAAATGTTAGAGAGAAGTTAAAGTATTTATCTATCCATTAGATGGGAGGCGAGGTACACCCACGAGCAATTTAGAGTCAGCCATTAACCTGCATGTGTTTGGACAGTGGTAGAAAGCTGCACCCGGAGAGAACCCCCACAGAAACGCCTGGGACGGTTTAAATCCAGGACCTTCTTGCTGTGAGACTATAGTGCTAACCACTACGAAATAATTATAATTTTGTTTATTTCTCATTTCTTCCAGGCTAATCATCTTGCAATTTATCTAACACCCATGTTGGAAACCAACAGCTGTATAATACAAAATAAATGAGATACTCCAAGGTTTGTACAAAAACACTGTAAATGTTAATGCACACACTTTTTTATACAGATTTAATATAAGATAATACTAACACTATGTAAAATCTCATATTTTGTTCTTTTCTAAAACCTGACATGTGACATGTCGTCAAATATAAAACATGTTTGTGTCCTATGCAACACACAAGATGTTAAACTTTTACTTAATAAACAAGTATAAGCTTGATTAAAATTTGTATCCTGTGTGACAAGATAGAAAAATATTGTGTTCATAAGCCAACTATATACATATACACGTTACAGCATATATAACTTGTCCCTGTGGGCAGAGAGTTTCACTGCTGTGCTACTCTATATAAGTCGTCAGTATAGATGGTAAAATAGATGTGGCAGATTATTACCTTATCCCCGTAGTTCACCATAATCAAGCTGCAGTGTTTACATATGAGGGGGACACATTTCAACATAGTAAAATTGTAGCACCTCCAATCTCTTTCTCCATGCTTAGTCAAAACTTACCCACTTAATTTCTGGGGCAGATTAAAAATAGCAAAGCCAGAGTGTCTGTTCCCCCGTCAGCCCCCACAGCCTGTCAAAGCTGGCAACTGAGCCTGTGGGCAGCATATGTGAGACTCATCTGCTACTATCCTTTGCCCCTTTTAATGAATATACTACATGACACGTGAATATTTCACCCTCTCCTCCCGTTCACTGATAGGGGTGACACACATCGGGAGCCAGCGCAGGAGGCGGGCTACGCATGCTGAGAGATCAGGCACAATTGTGCTCATTCCCCGAGAGTAACGCCTGTTGACATGGCTGCTGGGAGACTGGACAACTTAGGGGAGACACACTAAGTCCACAAGGGCTGCCTGCTATTTTATGTGCTAAAACAAAATGTCAACATGCTGGTTGAGGCCACGTTCTTGCTCTTTACTTTAGAGAGTTAGGCCACAAAGCCCCATATAAATAGATTTTGTCCCTTGGACTCTGATATGGGTTTTTGTTATTGTTGAATTAGCGCTGAATTATGTAACGGTGTTAGCAGACTCTGAGAGATGCTCATGGTGGCAAGTATAATTAGAAAAGTCTTTCTGCACTAATTCGGAACAGTCCCACCAAATCATTTCACAGACAGCAGCTTGCAGGAATTGTCCAAATGTACCGCCAACCCAAACAAATTACAAACAACAAATTAAAACAGCTTTGGAAATCTGATCCGAATCAGATATTTTGGCCCTGATTTAGCAGGCTAATGCAGGTAGTGGCTACAAACAACAGAAAGTACAGAAATGTAACTTTTTTTTTTGGTGGCATTATACATACAAAGGTGTTTAATGAGGCAATCAATCAGATCCACTTTTATTCCACAATAATGCCTGACAGATTTCTACTTTTATGTATTGCAAATAAAATGTACCTAATTTTGCTTGGGAAAACCTAGAACACCTGCAATGACCGTCGATGTTTTGATGTTTTCTTTCTACATGCACCCGGCTCAAGCGATGGCAATGTCAGTCGGCAGGTGCAGTCCACCTGGTCCAGGCTGAAATATCTCTACAACTGTTTGATTCCCATTAAATTTTGTACAGACATGCATGGGCCCCAAAGGATGAGTCCTACTAACTTTGGCAATGCCTCAATTTTTCATCTGCTGCCATTATCGGTCAAAATTTTACTTTGGTTTGTGTCAGTGTGAAAGAGATCTGTCCTGATTAACCCACACAGCCTGCTACTTTACTGTTTTGGTACAGCTCTCATTAGACTACAGTATCTTCCAGCAGCAGCAGGCAGCTGTTTTCAGTGAAAAAGCGCTGATAAACCCACTGAACACAACCTGCTCAGCACCAAACGGCAGACAGACACAGTTAGCGGAAAACATAGTGGAGCATTTAGTCAGTAAAGAGTCAGGCAACTGTTTAGTAGAGTTCGCCATGTAAACTTAAAAGGTGATAATATGTCAGTGTTGAGTTGTGTTCACAGCTTGTCTTAACGGCCCCAAGTTAACAAGAAAAAATGTTATTGCAAGTTTAGTATTACCCTTGTGCATGTGAAAGTTTTAAGTCAACTGCTGTGTTTAAAGCAACGTCATGTAGTCATTTGTTTTATCAAAACAACACATTCAAAATTATTTTGATGGTACACTGACTTGTAATAGGGTGAGTGGCATCTATCATTACCATTCTGGGCTTACTGTGCCTGCTACTGGACATCTGGGCAGGACATTTATCACGGCACCAGCACAATGTCGTCAGCAAGCAAGCTATAAGAAGAAGCAAAAGGCGAGGAAGAGAACGGACAAGAGACAATATCAGATTGGCTTTTTCTCATTGTCGTGAGCTAAAAGAGCTGAAAGGATGCAGGACAAACGCCGAGCTGGCCTTCTTGCTGTTAGACAAAGTAACAACTTATTATCTGGCTTGCTATGTCTTGTGGTGTTGCGCTTGCTTGATGTTTGCCTGTGCTAGCAAAGCTGTCGACTCAAGGCAACATCAGCAAGAGGATTGACAGAGGTTGAGTTCATGTTCAGTTCATGTAAGCAAACTCACTGGATAACGCACTCTGACATTGGCTTGGGTCGGTTGCTGTCTAGATTTGTTAGCTAGCTTGATACCCCTCCAGAAAAGGACAGCATGAAAATGACAAATCACACTTATGTATGCTTTATACATGTTAGAAAATAAAAACACGGAGGCTACGTTGTCTGAACTGAGAAGGAAGACACTTTATTTTTGTCTACCGGAACCAATTTTGTAACCAAAAACTACCGTTTTTCCAAGCTTCACAGTAAAATCCCATGACCTGTGTATATGCTTAAGAGAGAGAAATCAACTCAGTCCACCAAAACAAAAATTGCTTACGCTTAAACTCTTAATTAAATTACTTTTATTCATTGAAATATACAGTATGTGTCTGTATGGAGTTATGTTATTATTAACTAATACTATTTAATTTTCATTAGTATGGTGTTATTTAGGTTGTTATACAACTAGGATATTCTAGTATTATGTATTGCAGATAAAGAATCTTGGACACTTATTTCTTGCAACAAATAAAAATGTGACCATATTTCTGCACAGACCAAATTCATGCACTGTTTAATAAAATTACTGTACATTAACCAACAGTATGTGTAAACATTGCTGTACATACATCCTTACATATGCACTCTCCATTCTCTGTCTGGGTCCACTTTTCTCCTAAACATTTTTATTATATTCACATAAAGGCTACTGTACAATATCTGTTTTTCTCCACTGTACATATTGTAAGATAGCATAACTGCACTCATCTGTAAAAACACTAAATTTCTGCCCTTCTGGTTACATCCTTACTGCATTTCATTAGCTCTGTACCCGTACTCTGCATAATGACAATAAAGTTGAAACCTAAGCAGAAGTGGTCCTAAATGAAGAGCAGTTTGGGAGCGGAAAGAGCTGGCTCCCGGAAAGGGACAGAGCCATAAGATCCGGCTCCCTTCAAAGAGCTGTAATTCCCATCACTGATTGACATAATGTTATCATAATTAGGGGCGAAGAGACCGAAGAAGACATAGATGGAGGAAGTGAGGAAGCGAAAAACCTGGACTAGTACTGTGTTATCACACTTGCTCGATGTTAGTCAAGTTGTAACAAACTCATTGGACTTTTTGTTTTTATTTTCCTAATTACTTAAACTGGTGATTTGCATGCACATTATCCTCATATATACAAACACAGTCATAATAAGGCTGTTCTGAGATGGTCATATAATTAACTGACCAATTAACTTGTTTCCTAGTGGTTTGGTGTATTTGAACTACGTACCTTCTGACCACAAGACGCGACACAGCACACATGTCAGACTACCTCATCCTTGTCTCTCTCTACAGGACAGTTTCAGTCATGAAAGCAAGCAGACAGCTGTCACCCAGACTCTGAATAAAATATTTTGCTCCAAGCAGACAGAGAATATGGGTCACCATCCTCAAACACGTCTCCAGAGTCCTCGCAGTAGCATGACGGCCTTGGTGCTAATTCTTCAGAAATGCCATGGATGTTTCAAAGTCCCCCGCATGTCTTAAGGTGTCTTTATTCCTCATGATAGACCTATCAATCAAAGTCAGAGAGGATAATGAATTTTGTACAACAAACTGTGTGCATCAGGCTTTTGATAAGCAGATGCTGTGTGGGGCTAGAAAGCAAGGAGGCCTGTGTGGATTGACTCCTGTTTGAAAATGAGAGAAAAAGACCTTTTTGATTCTCAGTCTAAAGGACTAGAACTGTATCGTCGAACCGGTTTGCATGAGTGTAAATCATCTGAGGTTACCAATGTAGGCCACAGTGACATTTTAACCAAGTGTTTCTTTATTTACAAAGTGATGAAATGCATCGCCACTTCCCCAGCTTGTTTCTGAAGGCAATGACAACGCGGTCAAACAGAGCCATAACAGAGCAGTTGTACACAGATCGATCTTACACAATATAAAATAGCAGTTAATTACAAAATGATGCAAGACAGCGGTACATCTGTTTAGAGGAAATGTACAGTATTCCCAAAAATCGAGGTAGAAAAAGCACACACTGCTCAAATGATATTTGACATGGGATCATACAGGTCACCAAAGAGTTTAAATGGGAGTCAGAAGTGACCACATCATGATTTAAAAGGGACGCTGATGACAACCAGTGGAGCAAAATAGTCTCAAGAACATGTAAATTCTTAAAGTGAAACTGCAGAGTTCAACAGGTTTAGGTAACTGTAGAAAACCAATAAGTTCAGCAGCCAAATGTGGAATGAAACTTATGAATAAAAGTCCACAGTATCATGGTTTCCTACACATACAGCATTGAGCTCATTTTAAATTCAAGTGTGAGATAGTGTTTGGGGTGAAACATGGAAACACGTCTGTCAAATCGTCATTCATTATTCAAAATCTCTTGTTTCATGTATACAGTGGCATGTAAGACAAGTGTGTTTCATGCAAAAACTAAACCAAACTACTTTCAGTTTCTTTTATAGCAACAAACACTGAGATTTCATGAATGGAAAATGTTCCCTTCATGTTGCATTTTAACACCACCCACCTTCATTCCCTTGGCATCTCCACATTTCCAACGCTTGTGAAACATTTAAGGTGCTCCCATTAAACTTAGTGAGAGGACCAAATTGCACGCTATGACTAGTGATTAATTTAAGTAAATCCAATCCTGGCACAAAGCACAATGCATCTCAAAGTGTTCATTTTCTGTTTGAAATTAATATGGGATGTGCTGAAATGCATGTTTCAGTGAAGATGTTCAGCAGGCATTCTGCCACAAAACAAATGTTTTTTTTTCCTTATCAAACATCAATTTTGTTAATATACAGAAATCTGCTTCTTTCTGTTCCCTTTGAAAGCTCTGGGATGATTGATGTGTTTACATGTCATTTCCTTTGTCACTGCATTATCCTACCATAAATCCGGAGCTAGGACGGAATTGTGGCATATGCACAAAAGCATGTCGACTTGAATAGCCCATCAAGTACGCTCAATGATTTTCTTTCCCAAAATAGAATCACTGAGTCACACACACACTGAAGTGATTGTGCTGTCTCTCTGCCTTTGCGCGGGGGCCAGAGAGCCACCAACAGTGACTCCCATTCTGTCAGTCTTTGTCTTATCTACAGTCCTGCTGTGTGCACGTCGCCCTTTAAGCACCAAGTGTACAAGCACAGGGGCCACCATACCCAACTTTTTGAGAGCCAATATAATCTTTAAAGTACCCTGCTTTAAACCTTGAGAGCCTCATGCACGCCCACAGCAGACAGCCGACGGTTGATGTTGCGATAACGGCAGCGGAGAAGGTCACGGTAAGTGGATCGCAGGTCTCGGTTGAAGAAGGCGTAAATGAAGGGGTTCATTAGGGAGTTGGCGTAGCCTAACCAGAGCAGCGTGCGCTCCAGCCAGATGGGCACACAGCTACACTCCACTCCACAGATAAAGGGCCTGGCAGTGGACAGGATGAAGAACGGCAGCCAGCACACAGCAAAGACCCCCACGATCACCCCCAGTGTTGTAGCTGCTTTCTGCTCCCGTTTGAAGATGGAGATGTTTCTGCGTTCTCGGTTCAGCAGGCGGGACAGGGCGGCACACTCCTCCGCCACACCAGGTGGCTTCAGTCCCTGCATTCGCAGTGCCTCATTAGCCACAGTTTCAAGCCGCTCGCGTCGCGAAAGGTCAGTGAAGCGATGCTTGGCGCCACTCTTGCGCGCTGCCTTAAAGATCTTATAGTACATAACCAGCATGACCAGCATAGGGATGTAGAAGGCTACAGCTGTGGAATAGATGGTGTAGCCAAAGTCTTGGCTAATGAGGCACACACCGGCTGTGTGGACGTTTTTGGCCCAGCCGCAGAAAGGTGGCAGGGTGATGGATGCTGATACCAGCCACACTCCCAGGATCATCTTCGCCATCAGCTGACCGTTCTGCCGGGCTGGGTAGGTAAGGGGCCGCGTGATCCCCAGATATCTACAAGGAAAGGAGACAAAAGAAGTATCAGTGCTAACTTCCAGGCAGCTTTTCAACAAACCTACCTTGATATTTGCTCTAAAGCCCTTTACATTATATTTATTCATTTAGCTGACGCTTTTATCCAAAGCGACTTACAATTGCATATGTCAGAGGTCGCACGCCTTTGGAGCAACGAGGGGTTAAGAGTCTTGCTCAGGGACACAGTGGTGGGTGGGTCACAGTGGGGGATTGAACCCAGATCTCTCACACCAAAGGCAGGCGTCTTATCCATTGCACTATCACCACCACAGTACAGAATCACACAGAGTGCCTGTATTCATTGAGAAGAAACTGCAGTGTAGCATCAAATACATGTCCACTCATTTCAAAGACAGACATTTCACTGAGAGGTCATAAGCTCCGTCATTGCCTGGAGGGCCATTAACTGCTTTTCTTTGGCTTAGGAGTTTGGAGGAGCTTAGCGAGGTAGAGAGGGAGTTATCAAGCAAACGGACAGCTCAGTGGTTTGAAATAGCAGCTGGAGGTGTCAGAAAAATAAAGATAAAGTGAGGTGCAAAAGCCTTGACTTTGTACAAAACTGGGAAAATAGCCACTACTCTCACAAAATGATAAATCCATGTGTACACCTCTGTGTTGTTTGGCTATATGCCCACAGCCTAATTTAGCATCAAGTGCGTCATTGATGAAAAGCTGTGTATTTGACACTGCCGGCTGTTTTTTCTGGTTTCTGCTCTATTGTCAATCAAGATAAAAAATGCTTTAGGGAGCACTGGCCAATTGGACTCATTGTCTACCAGCGATGCTATCAGCACCGTGGACATGAAATTCAGCTCAGCTAGGCCCCTTAATAAACGGCTTTTAGATGTTGAGTGTAGTCAGGTTCATTCTACTTCGTTCATGTTGCTTTATCTTTACGCATTAGTCTTAATGTTTGCACAATTTTGTGTGTGTGTTACAAACACCATGGGACTGTGAGGAATCCATACAATTAGGTGGGTAGGTGTTAATTAAGCAACTTGGTTGTCAAACATGTTTGTCAAAAATACTCTGAAATCCATTCCAGTGCTTTTTAAAGCTTTACTGGCACACAGTACAAAAACAAAACATTAATTGCAAATTACAGTAGTACAAGTTGGTTTTTTTTAGCTAGCCACAAGCTAACTGGTTTTAGATTAGAAAATATGGTACTATAGTCTGCACACTGGAGCCTGTTAACACCTGACAACACACAGTCTAATCACCTGGAAAGGATAATAAGGCTACAAATGAAAGCACCCCCACACACACACACACGCACCCACCAGACACAGATCTGACGATCTTGTGTTTTTAAACCGCTTTAAACTACTTTTTTGTTTGTTTTTTTTTCTGTTCCTATCTGGACCACATTTGACGGGTACCTAAGGCAAGTGACCTACATGCAACTCATATCAGTATATGCCACCGTTGCCATGACAATAAGTGAAAACATCCATCATTCATCTGAGACAGGTGTCATTATTTTGTCGCCCTTGGCAGATCGGGTGGACAGGTGGTGGCATAGACGACCATGAGACACCAGAACTGCAAGAAAGCCAAATAATTCTCTATTTCAGTCAAAAATAAACTCTCAATGTAGAATAAATACCATTCCTGGGAAATCACACATCAGCCTATACAGTAACTTTGTGGTTACCATTTAAACTCAGACTCAACACTATTACAGTGTCCTTAAAGATCCCGTGGCTTGGGTTAGTTGTGCTCACTGAATATTACATAACAACTACTGTTTACTCAACCCCCAATCCCTCCAACCTGCTTTGCCTAGCTTACAACCCTCACTTAAAATGTACTTAAGCTTTCCAAGGGGGCCTGAACACATCCAGGCGAGCAATGTCAAATAGATGCAAGACAGATCCTGATGGGTACAATCCATGCTGTGGGAATTCTCAGGAATACATAATGGAAACCCAGTAAATCAACACTCCTCTCTGAATGCATTATTTAATAATGAGGAAGGAGGTTGTTGTGCTAATTTGGGGGGATATTTGTGTGTCTGTGGGGGGTGGAGAGCAGTCCTCCACAAACCTATGACTCATCCTTGGCCCTTTAGAAGGCAGAGCTGTTTTCAGACGCACTCTCATACAAAACAAAATCTTCTCACCATCCTTTTGGACACAAACGACTGCCAGTTCTGATAAGATAGCACTGAATTCAAGACTTAATTACACAGCTTCCTGCAAGTAATTTTGGCAGGATGAGCTGATGCACCTCTGGGTAGTTTAGTTTATTATGTTTTGACATAAAGAGATTAAACTTTACTGGCCCCTGTAACAGGACACAATAAGGAGCATCGCAAAAAGAGGTGTGTGTATAGACATTCACAATCAATAATGAGAACAAAAAAAAATTTAAATCATGTAAAATGTAACGAGCACCTGAAAATGTAAAAATGTAACCTGAAAATGAATTACTGATTTTTCGGGCCACTTGGGGACATGAGAAATGTGCTGCAAACGCAACATTGGCATATTATCACCTTTAAAGTTGACATGGCTGTTAGCAAACAGTTGCTTATTTACATATCCAGCCAACACAGAGCAACATGATAAATTATTCGGAGTCATGTTCCTGTCCACCTGATGAATTTAAGTCCAATATTCACTCTGCTTTTACCCCTTCGTTACTCTCCACTTAAACTATTTTCACCTAGTAGTCCATAGGTGTCATTTACTCTGGGGACGCTGGGGACATGTCCCCACCACTTTTTGAAATGGCTGATTTTGTCCCCATCACTTTTTTAAAGCAAAATTTGTTTTTAAAAAATGTTCAGAAATACAGCTTGTAGTTAGATAACAAATGAAAATGCATTTAGAAAGGTTTATTTGCACATTAAGAAAACATGCAATGCAATTAAAATATAGAAGAAACAAATGTGCATAGTCCAAAAAACAAACTACAGATTATCAAATGACCCAAAAATGTTCATGCACCAATCAGTAACTTTAACAACTTCTTGACAGTTATTTTGAACATGACAAAAGAGGATGGAAGACTAAATCAGGCCTATATATGTGTTGCCTGAGCAGGGATGATATTATATGAAAAAATTGATCTACAGGAGAAATAGATTTGAACACAGTATCTGAGAGCTGCACTGCATTTATATAATTTGAAATATCGCCTGCCACCTGAATTTTGTGTTTCTTTTTTACAACTGGAGGCAGGAAATTCAGTGTTTAATGATCAAAATTTCCTGGAGGGGGTCCCCCCAAACAACCCCGCTCATATCTCTCGGCATTGAGGATATCTTTTAAAACACTGTTTAAGGATCTTTTGGTCTCGTTCTCGTGAACCTAATATCGTGTCTCGTGATGTCTGGTGAGCTAAGTGTCTCTTCACACCCTTAATCTGAGCTCCTATGTCCCCACCACTTTTCAACACAAATTGACACCCTTGTGGTAGTCACTAACTTTGTCTCCCTGCTGTTTGGTGCTGAGAATGTAACAGTAGTTGACCAAAGTGCTTTCCACAATAGACAACAAATATACATGACAACAACAGTAGAAAAAGTAAAAAATATAAATGTCACTACTCAACTCTGTTTGAAGGCCAGTGAATAAAGATATGCCTTTAGCAAGGATTTGAAAGTGTCAGGAGTCGGGGCATTTCTTATTTCAACAGGTAAAGTGTTCCAAAGATTAGGAGCAGCTACTGAGAAGGCTCGGTCACCTTTAGTTTTTAGCCTGGATCTAGGGACATTGAGGAGCATCTGATTGGATGACCAGAGTGTGTACATGTAAAAGTTCTGATAAATAAGAAGGTGCCAACCCATTTAAAATTTTAAAGACAAGCAATAAAATCTTAAAATCAATCCTAAAACAGACAGGAAGCCAGTGGTGTGAGTCTAAAACAGGGGTAATGCGCTCACGCATTCTGGACTAACTGTAACCGATGGAGAGACGACTGATCCACTCCAACACACAAAGAATTACAGTAGTCTAGTCGAGATGTTATAAATGCATGGATTACTCTTTCAAAGTCTTTGCGTGGCAGGTAGGGCTTGACTTTGGCCAACAGTCTCAGATGAAAGAAATTGGCTTTTACTACAGAACTAATCTGTTTTTCAAATTTAAAAGCACTGTCAAGATCACACCTAGATTCTTGGTAAATGGACGACTATATGTTCCTAAAGTACCAAGAGCATCTACAGAAGCACTTAAATCCCCAGGTCGACTGAACACAACAGCCTCAGTCTTACTTTCATTCAGACAAAGTTCTGATTCAACCATCTTTTAAGATCTCTCAGGCAGTTGAGCAAGGACTGAGTTGCAGCTTTATCATTAGATTTTACAGGTAAATAGATTTGTATATCGTCTGCAAAGCAATGAAAGGAGATTTTTTGAAAATGGACTCGAATGGCAGCATGTACAGGGAAAAAAAAGCACAGGGCCCAATATGGACCCTTGGGGGACCCCACAAGAAAGAGGGGCAGCAGATGAAGAAAATTTACAGAGGTGAACAGAGAAACTTCTGTCAGCCAGATATGATTTATAGCTCTTTGGCTGAAAAAAGCAGCCTGCTGAGGCTAAAAGCTACGCTAATGAGAGCCGTGAGAGTGAATCAAAACAGCAAAGTTATAGCAAAGTTAAAATAAAAACAAAACAGTTAGCTTTAAGATACTAAATGTGTCTCAGCTAAAAGCTAATAGCAACTGCAAAATCAGGTGATAATTCTCCGGGGTTCATCACTACCTAACCACCACCTCTCACATTTGATCCATTGTTAATATAAAATTACTTAATATAGCAGCTTTAAGGACCATTATTTTTCAGTATGCTATCTGCAGTATGCAACAAATTTAAGGGGGTTACTTCACACCTCAGAGGAAGCAGATAATCATGCTTAAACACCAGTGGCAATGGATTATAATTACCTCCCAGAGTTTAGAGCAGGGTATTTTTTTCATTTTTCTGGATTTGGGACATATCAACAGCCACAGCAGCACTCTGGGATTA